TCCTTTCTTAGTTCATAAACTCAAAAGCAATACATCTACGCCATCTCCAGAGCCTCCTGCCTCACAAACCCCGCCCCAAAAGGAGGAGGAGATTCAGCCTGCAAGACACACCCCCATTGAAACAGATCATCGCAGAGCCACGCCTTCTCCTCCGGTCAGCACGTCACCAACCCTGAAAGATCGCAGCGAGAGCCCCGCCCCCAAAAAGACCCCCGCCCTTGCCACACTAGTTAATATGATCAACAAAAAGCCTGGGAAGAAAATGAAGATCGATTTGAAGAAAGGTAAGCTGGATGAGAACTCAAAATTGAATGGGTTCAACTCAAAATTGAGCCCATTGAATTTAAAAAAAGTTCTAACAATCATTCTTTCTGTATCATTTTTTCACTCAAAAATATGCCACATTATGCAAGTAAAATGGGTTGCGAAGGCCATTTCATGTTGATTTCAAGCTTGAATAGTGGAAACTCCATCCAGTTGACCACAAGGTGCCACACCCTGTCAAAACTGCTGCATAGCAACGTCTTCCTTATTTTCTCTCCTCTCTGTCTGTATCGCTCCTCTCAGCTGATTGACAGCTGCTATTGTTTAAAACTTTAATGTCAGGTGCTCTTCTGGGACTCGATATTTCATCATTTGCCATCTTTACTATGCTGGATTGGCCGCTATCCTTTATGACATCTCTCTCTCTCAAGTGTGTGTGAGAGAGAAACAGAGCAATTCTCGACTTCAGTAATCACACGTGTCCCTGCGGACGAGAGACTCGCGAGGGAATCGCTTTCTTAGCATGATTCTTTAGGCCTCTTTTTTCTTTCTTCTCTTACTGCGTTTCTGAATAAATGTGCTTTTACTATTTTAATTTTTATTTTAATTTACTGCTTTTAATTTATGCAGCTTTTACAAACAATAAATAAATAAATAATAAACAAGCAAACAAAAGAAAGAATTAATGAATGAATAAAAAGTTTGTATAAAAAGTATTTAGTAGTAGTATAGTCTTAACAGTAATAAGAAACTAATAATTCTAACTGGAATATTTATTTTCTTAATATAAAAGTAATAAAATATAAATATTTATGCAATACATTCTAAACATAAATATAGCTTTTAATGTAATAAATATAATGCAATAAATATAAAATGCAATGAATATTAAAACAAATAATATGTATACAATAAATATAACTATAACTAAATATTAGTATGTATGCAATAAATATACAAAACCAATTCTTATGAAATAAATATAAAAAGAACTAAATATTAATATTTATGCATTTAAATATAAAATTATAAATTTTTTCTCCTTTTGATTTTTGGATGAAATGTGACCCTGACATATTTCTGTGAGATTCACTCTTCCATCTCTTTTCAGCTTCCACTTCCTCTAATCAGTTTTTTTTTCAGACCACACCCTTTGTCATTGTTTCTATCGCTCCTCTTTCACACAATCTCTCTCTCTCTCTCTCTCCTCATCCTGTATCCTGCTCTCTGCATCTCTCGTCTCCTGTAGATGTGTTCACGTGTGAAATTAAAGTGCAGAGCTGTCTAATCCCCATAAGGAAACATTTATCAACGTGCAGGGTTGGAAACAGAGGTGTTCGAACCTCTGCAGAGAAATCGACAGTTTAAACACAGGTTATCAGTCCAGAGTGCTTGAAAGCTATCATCAGCCTACCACTGACCTTTTGACCTGATCTTGGATCGGATAAGCTGGATACAGTCTGTAAAGATCTATGAGGGTCATAACGGGTAACTTACATACACATATATAGATGTGTATATATTCTTTGCATCATTTTCACCATCTTGCTCTCCACACATCAGTATCCACTATTGAAAAACCCATATTGGTAGTCGGTAATTTAAAATATAAAAGCCAGATTTCAGTGATAATAGTGACACTCTATTGACAATGAAGTAAATTTCTAATGAAATGTACTAGGAGTAGATATTGAAAATTAATGCAATAATATTGGACAAAGTACTTTCATGTTTTATGGTTTCTTTCATGCCAGTTACAGACTTTTAAACAAATCCGTAATTCAAAAATTCATAGTGACAACATTTGAATTCAAATATTCAAATTTTGATTTTGAGAAGCCTTTTAAATCGGAACTTTCATTGGCAGTTTTCTTTGCCAAACCTTTAAATTGAATTTTCATTGGCAGTTTTCTTCGACAAATATTCAAATAAAAAAATCTTGAAAATGAAAAACTTCCAATGCTACAAACCTCTTAATAAAAAAAAAAAGTTAAGTTTTCATTGTGACAAGCTTTTACAATAAACTTTCACGGCCAGTTTTTTTTTTGTCAAGTTTTTTAAGTTGAAAATTTGCATGTGTATTTTTTCTTTGCTAGTAAAACAACAACAATTAAGATATGAGCTTTTAAATTATATATTTCGAGACTCGACTTGTCAATAACTGTTGACATTCTTAACCCTTCATCTTAAACTAGTCAATCTGTTTTGACAAGTTTATATTCTACATCAATTTATGTGAATGACCAGAACATAATACCTTTAAGTTTGCTACATTTTCTCATGGCATGACGAAAATGATCAATTCACTTGGTATGAATAGTATTGAGGTGAAATCCAAGGCAATGTTCCTTGCTGGAAATTGAGCCTTAGAATGTTAGCAAGTCTTCAGGACATTGTGGAAGGGATTTTAGTGGAACAATTATATAGTTTTTCAACACGTCTTAAAAAGATCTAAATTTTATTTGGTACTACAGTGAGTGTGAACTGTGGGTGTAAATGCAAACACACTTTGTCTATGACTGGAACCTTAGAAGAATGTTATTTATTTCACATCATACAGCAGGGTAAAATATGTTCAGTTCAGGTTTTCTGGTTTACTGGGTCATTAAATACATGCTTAATATTTCTGGCCTTCCTCTGTCTGCAGGTACGGAGGGCCTTGGATTCACCGTGGTAACCAGAGACTCGTCCCTTCATGGTCCAGGACCCATTATGGTCAAGAGCATCCTGCCCCGCGGAGCTGCTGTTAAAGACGGACGGCTCAAGTCTGGAGACCGTATCCTGGAGGTATTACATGCATCCTGCGTCAATGCAATCATGAGAGCACAACCTGGAAAATGCAAAATCACAATTTATTTATAGGACATTAAATTATGCTATTCCTCTCCCACCAGTCATGCAATTAAAAGTTATTGTTTTAAATGCAATTTAAAGATATTGTTTCAGAAAGCTTAATGCATCTTTGACATAATTAGGCAAATTGTCTGTCTTGTATTGCACCTGGCCATGAGATGGAATTGACACTGACATGTTTTCCATCTCTGAAAAGTGTAAATGGAAATTTTGCTCTCCGTTTTGGCAGTTAGAGGAAATAGCTTTCTCTCTTTCTCTAGGTAAATGGAGTGGACATCACAGGACGCACACAAGAGGAACTGGTGGCTATGCTGCGGAGCACCAAACTGGGAGAAACCGTGTCTCTGGTAGTCGGAAGACAAGAGGAGTTTTTGCCCAGAGAACTGGTAAGACCATTGTCAAACATCAGGGCATAACGATGAGGTAATTAACAGTACCTCAAATTATATCTAAAAAACACAATGTTTATGTAATGAAAAAGTAAAACTTTGGTTTGAAAAAAATGGTAACTATTTTAAGGACCAGTTCTCACTATTAACTAGTTGCTTATTAGCATGCATATTACTAGCATGTATAAAGCACATATTAATGCCTTATTCTGCTTGACCATATTTTAGATCCCTTAAAGGGGTCATATGACGTTGCTAAAAAAGAACATTATTTTCTTTTATGCGGTTTAAGGTTAAAAAAACACATTATTTCCACATACTGTACATTATTGTTTCTCCTCTATGCCCCGCCTTTCTGAAACGTGTCGATTTTTACAAAGCTCATCGTTCTGAAAAGTGAGGTGTGCTCTGATTGGCCAGCTATACAGCTCCCCTATCATGTGAGATCTGCTCCTTCTTTGGACATTTTTAAGTCTAGACTTAAATCTTATTTTTACTCTTTAGCCTTTGTATGCGTGTAGTTGTTGTTTTTATTAGTAGATTTGATTGATCATTGTACAGCACTTTGGATCAATTTACATTGTGTTTAAATGTGCTTTATAAATAAATGTTGTTGTTGTTGTTGTTGTTGTTATCTTTTTGGGTTTGAGACTGTAGTTTTTGCAACTTTAGAGGTCTTATCTATTCACGAACAGCTTGTAACACTCCAGAGAGAAAGGAAAACTTGAAATAGCATCATATGACCCCTTTAATTCTACCTCATAACTAAACTTAACTTAACTACCTTACTAACTATTAATAAGCAGCAAACTAGGAATTTGAGGCCAAAGTTGAAGTTAATAGTGAGAATTGGTCCCCAACCTAAAGTGTGACCAAAAAAAATATATATATATATTTGATGTACACACATATATATATAAAAAATGGTGCTGTCAAATAAAATGGTGCATAATGGAATTTAATGGTTATGTGTATATATATTTTACATACACATTTTATGGCAAATCCAAACAACTTTATAAAACCCCAGCAATCCCCTCTTTTACATTGAAAGTGTCGAATCAGCTTGTGACAGGAACTTGTGCACAAGACAGCGGTTTAACAGGAAGCCTCAGGCCAGTGCTGGTCCATCTCCTCTCACAGATGTTACATGTGGTGCGTGTTGATCGCTGACCCCTTTCAAAGCATCTCTGTTTTTCTTCTAAACATCAGACCCCCTTTAGAAACTAAACAATGAGTAAAAATGCAATTGTGGCACCCCTAGATCCCTTTTCAAAGGAAGAAAGACCACATCCCTTCATTGTGTCCCTGTCTATGCCACTGATCTATATAATGACTAGATTGCTCATTGCGGTGTAAACTGCTGTCAGGCGGTGAAGCCACCGGAAGTGTTCATGCCACCATCTTACTACCGACCCTACCGACAGCTAAAAACTTGACCTAAATTCACCAGCGTATCAGTCACACATGATTAGTTTTTAGGATATGTGTATGTAAATTAATTGTTACTTCAGATATTATCTCCAATGTTTATGGTCTTTTCGGACAGGATAAGCGCTATATTGAAATTGTTAAATAGTTTATCATGGAAATCGTTGCTGACACAGTTACTGTGGCCTTTTACTAGCATTACCATTTAGGAATAAAATGTTACGTATGTATTTTTAATTAATTATTAATTTAACCAACGTTTAAATCATTAACTGCATCAAGATGAATCATTGTTAAAACATTTTCAGATAGCCGACTGTACGAATAAAAACAATAAAACAACATAATTACATAAACAGTGAAGGTGAATTAAGGTATGCTTACACAAAGCATAAATGTTTATTCAAATTGAGCACTTTTTCATTTGTAATACATATGTTGAGGATCTCGTCCGTCCTATGTTTATCATATTCATGTTCGCTTCTGTAATGAATATGAACGTGACTTAATTTATTTAATTCCTGACATTAAACAAATAACCATTTACATGCATAGGAGGTTTGCGTTGTAAGAATGTACAGTGATACTTCAGATATGAAAACACTGATTCGTTTTCACATTAAAATCGTACGTTTTCCTGTTAATTCAATAGAATGTATGGGAATACTAGGGGATACCAATATGGCGGCACGGCGGCTTCACTTTTATGACGTCATGAGTAATCCAGTTTTCTATTATAGATCAGTGGTCTATCCTCAGTTCATTTGCACTGTACTGTCTGCTCATCAAAGGCTTCGGGTTTAGTTGGGTCACGTGCAGATGTGTTATGTGTGGGCTGCCAAACAATTCATAATCATCATTTCTCTCATGCATTATTTCCTCAATTAGGTTTGTACATATCAGGCCAGAACTGCTCTATTAATTAAACGCCACAGACCTTGTTTGAGCCATATATAATATATATTTCATTTATTTTTGATTTTATTATTTTTATTCTATAATAATATTGTATTATTTAAAAAAAGAAATACAAATTGTATTATATTTAATTATTATAATGTATAAATTATTATTTAATTATTTAATGATTTATTTTTGTTATATAAACATTGTGTGTTGCATTGCAAAATTAAAGACATGCATTGTTACATTTGGGGTTTATTTATGGATTTAGCTGCTTTGTACTTTGTTAAATCTTTGCTGTCTGTTCAAGAAGAGCAGCTGTATGTCATTGACACTTATTATTATTGGACCATTAATTCTGGTTAGGCAACAAAAAGCATCATAAAGAGCTGCTCTGCAGTATCTATTCAGAGAGAAAAACCTCTTCCATTTTTCCAGCCTATTCAAATTCAAAGTGGGTTAGCTGTGCCACTGCTTAGCCAGGGTAAATTACGGCAGAAATGCGACTGCAGGAAAAAGGAAAAATGACACCCTCGGGAGAAATATTTTTTCAGAGAATGGAAGAGTATGAAAATATATAATGACAGTGTTGAGTAGATTTCACCATCTGCCTTTTTAGAGGATATGAGAATATGCGTGTGTGTGTGTGTGTGTGTGTGTCTGTGTCTGTGTGTGTGAGTGTGTGTGTGTGTATTTATATTTCATTCCAATCAATGAATGCATCCAAACCTGAAATATCCTCCATAAACTCCCACCTTCACACAGTATTCGTCCCACTGTCCACCACCCAGTGTCAGCACAAAATATACCATCTTAATTCCCAAAGGTGGATTTGGCTAATGATCAGCCATTAGCAAAAATAAAGCATCTTTTATAACGGCCTGCGAGAATCCAGCAGATCTCTGGACAGGAAACTAGCTTACACCATAAATGTCCATCCTGTTAACAGCTACATGGTGTCCGTTTGGTGAAGGATAAGTCACGTGACCTGTGATTGTTGACAGAGTTAAAGTTTTGTTTTTCTGACTGAATCCCTTTGGGATCTGGTCGCTGTGACTGGACATCCTGGATGCGTGAAAGCGAGTGTCACCAAAACGCCCGGCCTTGCTGGAAAATCCATCTAAATCCATCTTACGCCACTTAGCTAGTTATGAACTGGCAAAGGATGGTCTTGCACTGGTCAGAGCTGATTATTAAGCTGATTATTAAAAAGAATACCATGGTACATTCCCAGAAAACATAGCCATTTTTATTAATTTACATTTTGGTATTGTACTGGATTATCAGCCTTTGAAGGAGCTTTGAGGAGAATGAAGCAATAGTATATATATATATTATTATAATTATGTATATATTTATATTTTTAATACAGATTTAATTTTTCCACAATACATTAGAATGTCCTATTTAATTTTATTTTTTTCTGAGCAAAAAATAATGACTTACCATATTTTCTAAAGACACCCACTAAAATGTCATTCATTTTCAACAATAGCTCATATACCAAAAAAATCTCAAGAATCTTTAGATGACAATTTTTAATTTTTACCAATCTTTGCCACTATCTTTTAAAACACTAGGTCAGAATAAGTATGTTGTTTCATTTGTACATAAATATATCTGTTAAGCTGAATAACGATGGAACATTATTTCACCCATATTTTGGCATTTTATTTTCGCAAATGTTATTTGAAACATTAAAGCAAACACTTTTCTAGCATTTAATATGCGCTGTATATTTGTAATCTGATTAACTTGTGGTGGAGTCACATGTTTCTTTTAAACAGCATATGAATCGTTGTGTAGAAATTAATTTTCAATTATCAGACATATACAAGAGTTTGTGGGCTTGTTTTGTAAATGTATATTAATGAGATTGCTTTGGCAAACTATAAATGTCTAAAGATGACCATTGCATTAAAGCTAAGCCGACTGGATTTGGCATCAATTTGTCATGTACTGCAAGGGTAAATGAATGCAGTAGTTGGAATTAATGTCTTCAGCAACATATTAATTATACCTGATAGCCTGCAGCAATAAATCAGCCAAACATCAAATGAAATTGTAATATAAGATTTTTTGTGTCCACTAGACATGCGTTTAGATCTTTTCCAGCATGCACTGCAAAAATGTCTTTAATATAATAATAAAAAGGCTATATTTAGTGATTTTTGTGGTGTTCCACTAGACAAAGTACACTTAGTGTATATTCAAGATAAATGATCTAAAATCAAGTCTTTAGTCGACCAATGTGTTTATCCGAGTATATTGAATCTAATACCACCACTGTAATGTGATATTCTCACAGGAAATTTGCTGTAAAAGCTGAATATTTATTTCTGTAACTAATTTGCAGTCATAATTTAGACTCTGAAGGGCCTGGATAGTTTGATGTTTGAGCTGCTGTTCTCCACCCCAGGGGCGGACTTACCCATTAGGCATAGATTTTATTTTAGGCAAGTCCTGATGATTTGAGAAGGCTAAATTGATCAAACATAGGCTATAGGCTATGATCAATTCACTGTCTGCCGCTGGCCTTTACTTAAAAAAAACCAAAAAAAAAACCGTACATTTAACGAACAAAAAATACTCCAAATGTTTTTCTAAGTTTACTTTATAAAAAAACGAAACGAAATATAATCACTTTTCCATTACATACAAAACTGAACTATTTTAATAGCTGAAACAGTAGTATAAGCTTTTTTTGGGAAAAGGGGAAAAAAGACGGGCTAGTGCCTATATTTGAGACCCGTGCAGGGCTTTAATCCACTTCATCCAACGCTGTTTTGTTCTCATCTGTGAGCATGCTCTTGATATATGTATTTTAGGTGTGTAAATTTATAATTGCCTTTTCATTATTTTTTTATTTTAATTTAGTTTTATTTAAATTTGTAGTTAAAACAACTAAAAATAAATGTATTTTAAAGTTTAGAATTAGACAGCCTTTGCACACATGCTTACGCTGAAAACAACAAAATGGAACCTCAAGGTTGATCTAGGAAAATGTGTGCAAATGTATAGGGCCCCATTCCTATATTTTGCCTGGGGCCCCCAATTCACTAAATCCGCCCCTGCTCCACCCTTTGATTCAGATTTCTGTGAGGATGCAGGGGTCAGACAGCACATTGCACACAGTTGCACTCACAGAAAGAGAGGTCGTCCACGGGGCTGATGGAGCATTTAGATGTCCTTGAGATGGTCTTAATAATAATTCCTCTTCCTACACACAGGATGTGTTTTGCTTTGTCATGACCTATTTAATTATATTTGTTATTTGGGTCACGGCCACTTCTTTCCAAACCCAGTGGACTTTTTTAAAAAGCTGTGAGTAATGTAAAAACTGTAGATGCTTTCATGTAATAGCAAACGGCCTTCTGACATCAATTCTAATTTAGGTCAGTATCTGGGTTAAGGTGCATTGACTTCTAACCAGGGCATCAAAACACATTTCCCATGGATTATTTTTGTGTAAATGATACAAAGACTTCCTCTCAAAATTCGGTGTGAATCACACTGTAGTTTCACGATTAGTGCGGTAGACTGAAGTTTGGTTTTTGTGACGCATATCTTTTCTTTGTGAAGTTGTTGGGGTGCTATGAGAATGCTTCCAGAACAAGAGGAAAATAATGTTGCTCAGATGTTGTAAAATGGAAAATGTTTTTGCTAAGAATATCTCAGTTATGTTTCATTGATGTATCAGTTTTGTCTGAGGTGTTTCTCCTAAAATATATATTCTTTTAATTAGTAATATTAATGTTGCTAACATTTATTAATATTAATATTTTCAGTTAATATTAATGGATTTTAAGTTAAATGTTAATTTCTATTATTATAATATATTATCCTATATTAATATCAGTTACTAGTGTGATGTTAATAATGTTTATTCCTATTAGGTTTTAATTTGATATTATTATTATTACTGTTGTTATTATTATTTGAAGAAAACAAAGAAGGAATACTGTTTGTTACTGTTGATATTAATGATGTATTATATTATAGTTATTACATATTAAGTAGTATTAATATTAAAAAAATAATAGTGTTATCAATTTATATCAGTATTAATTACTCTTAATACTGAAATGAATTCCTATTAGTGTCAATATTAGTATCCAGTCCATTAGTATCTTATTAATGTTACTACTTAATAATATTATCAGTTAATATTAATGTAATAATATTATCAATTGACAATTAAGTGAGATTAATATTAATAAAAGCATTCATATTAATATTATCATTTGTTATCATATTAATGTTAATGTTAATTGTTATTAATACAGTTATTAATTTCTGTTTAACCTATTAATATTAATTGTTTATTATGTTATTATTTTTCATGTTTTAATAAGAATAGTAGTAGTAGCAGTAGCAGTTAATATTAATGTTAATTACTAATTCTAATGTTAATATTGTTATTAATTTAGAGTTGCAGGTGCCCAAATATGGTGGTTTTGCATTGCCCATAGGCCTGTGTTTATCTGTCAATGCTGTTTAACTCACTCCGCTTATTCCCGACACGGATCCTTTTTTACTCTATAGTGCCGCTGACCTTTTTTGCCAGCTTTTACTCATGTACTTTAGTTAAAACAGTCCATCATATTGTATGTATGAGAGCATATTAGTGTGTATTTGCCCTCAGGAGGTCTTCATGTGAAGCCTGGACCTCAAGTGTCGATAGGACCACCAGAGCGGCATCAGACAATCTGATATTCTCGCTGGGACCAAAGTTTGACCTCACTTACAAACAGGTCTTTTATTGTGTGCTAAAACTCTGATATGTTGTCCGCCTCAGGCCATGTACGACACATTATCTTCAGTAAGAGGAAACGCTAAAAGGACTACTTGAAGCTTTGCCCCATTGGCCCTCCTATTTTTCATCGTTAGCTCTTACTTAATGCTTTTTGCCCAACTCTGTGCTCCTACAAAGTCATTTTTGTTTCTTTTTCCCTTGGCCCATTTCCACAGTAGCTTAGCAACAGGCTAATGCTGTTGCTTAATGTGGTTTCCAGGAGGTTGTCAGTCACATTTAGGCATTGCACTTTATTCTAGGTCTTTTTGCCATGTTTTATTGATGTGATAGTGGATAGAAGAAGGAAATGATGTGGAGAAAAGGTCAAAGACCATGGCACTGACAGCCTTGATCTCTTTGATAGGATGTTTAGGAGTCAAAGAATGCAAAAAGAGAAGTGAAATGTTTGGATAGTTGTGTGTGTGTGTGTGTAAATGTGTTCAATAATGAGTTATTAGTCTTAAATTTTGTTCCCAAACCCCTCTCTCCTAAATGAATCTCTGACAAAAGCTTTTTATGTTTCCTTTTGAACTGACACGTTCTCATGATCTCACCCTTTCACGTTCAAATCAAATGACCCCCAACATGTTTCCTGCCTCTCCATTAGACATGCATTCATTCCGTCCTAATCCTACTTTATATATTCATCAATCATTGGTACATTTGGTACATCTGGCTTTAGTTTAACTGGGATCCATCTCTAAAATAAACACTTTATTGCATTATTTGAAAGAAATGAGTACTTTTATTCAGTGAGGATGCATTAAATTGATCAAAAGTGACAGTAAAGACATTTAGAATGTTACAAAAATTTCTATTTTGAATAAATGCTGTTTTTTTGTTTGTTTTATACATTAAAAAAAAAAAATCCTGAAAAAAAAGTATCACAGTTTCCAAAAAACTATTAAGCAACTGTTTTCAACATTAATAATAGTAAGAAATGTTTCTTAAGCAGCAAATTAGCATATTAGAATGATTTCTGAAGGATCATGTGACACTGAAGACTGGAGTAATGATGCTGAAAATTCTGCTTTACATCACAGGAATAAATTACATTTAAAATATATTCATACAAAAAGCAGTTATTTGAAATTTGAATAATATATTGCAATATTACTACTTAAAAATACTTTTTTTTGATCAAATAAATGCAGCCTTGTTGGGCATAATAAACTACTTACAAAAGCATTTTTTCTTTCTTTTCAATCTTACTGACCCCTAAACTTTTAAACTGTAATGTTCCTTCATCTCAAGATTTTCATCTAACTACATCCAGTATCTTATTGAAATGTGTTCCATGTTCAATACATGTTAAACTCTATCGACTGAATCTGTGACATGACGTTGATTACCATTGACAATAATTTCGACTCATCTCGTAGTCTGTAAACGCAAGCAAAAATGACATGTGCAGTAATGCAGTTGTAGTCAGTGGGGCAAATCAATTTCTAACCTTTATATAATGTGTTTTTTCTGGATTTTTTGGTTGATATTCTGTCTCTATCTGTTAAAATAAACCTACCATAAAAATTACAGACCATTCATTTCTTTGTAAGTGGGCAAACTTACAAAATCAGCAGGGGATCAAATAAATATTTTCCCCACTGTATGCTGAACTGGGATAAATGCTAAGATTTACTTGGTTTGGAAAGTCAGCTGAGATACTGACCTAAGTGTATGTGTGTGTGTTATTTGCAGAAAGGAGAGCCATCGGGTCCGCTTCTGTCTGAGGATGGGCGAGAGCAGCTGATGTTTGAAGTTCCTTTGAATGACTCCGGCTCAGCTGGTCTAGGGGTCAGTCTGAAGGGTAATAAGTCTCGAGAGACTGGAGAAGACCTGGGCATCTTCATCAAGTCCATCATCCACGGCGGCGCCGCACACAAGGTAAAGAGCAGCCCATTCATCCAACGTCCAGTCATCGGAGAGCTTCAGTCATGAAAGTCGCTCCAATCCTGTGTATGTCACTACAGAATGGCATACAGTTCTGATTTAAATGCAGTTATATACTGCAGTTCATAATACACTACTAAAATATAGTGTTGTTCATTATACATGACTAAAACCTTTAAAAATTAAATAAATAAATGCATTTACTATTATAAATATATAAACACAATATTGTTCATAATACCTTATTGTTTATGCAGCTTGTTAAAAATGTTAAAATATATTAGTATATGTAGAAATGAATGTTAGATTAATAAACTAAAATCAGTTAATGTTATTTTTATTAGTTTTAGTTAATGATAACAACACTGGTAAAAATTGTTCATTGTTTTTTTTCCATATTAGCTATTGCATTAACTAATTTAAAGGGATAATTCACCCAGAAATGAAAATTACCCCATGATTTACTCACCCTCAAGCCATCCTAGGTGTATATGACTTCCTTCTTTCAGACAAATACAATCTGAGTTATTTAAAAAAATGTCCTGGCTCTTCCAAGATTTATAATGGCAGTGAGCGGTAGTCAAGATTTTGAAGCACAAAAAAGTGCATCCGTCCATCATAAAAAGTGCTCCACATGGCGCTGGGGGGTTAATAAAGGCCTTCTGAAGTGAATCGATGAGTTTGTGTAAGAAAAATATCCATATTTAAAACTATAAACTGTAATCTCTAACACCCCCCGTGCCGTGTGGAGCACTTTTTGTGATGGATGGATGCACTTTTTTGGGCTTCAAAATCTTGACCCCCATTCACTGCCATTATAAAGCTTGTAAGAGCCAGGACAGTTTTTAATATAACTCCGATTGTATTTGCCTGAAAGAAGAAAATCATATACACCTAGTATGTAAATCATGGGGTAATTTTCTTTTTTTGGATGAACTATCCCTTTACAATTATTTTAATTCAAATTGAACATTTGGTTTACGTAATATTAATAAGAAATTCACAAAACAATATTTTACATCGATACGAAAATGCACATTGACAAGGCATAGTTTTCGATCAAAGTTAATCGGTCCAAATATTGTCAGATTGATCTGTCTGTAACTAGTACTATGATTAGGGAAGCAATACAAACCTGGCTTATTATGTAGAATATACTGTATTATGGTAATTGTGATTCACCCAAAGTGGCCTCAAACCACAAAACAAATTAGATGAATGATGAAAAGTGGCCTTTTTTGTAGCCTTTTTTTGTGGTTTGGGATATTATAGGTGAACCTCACCAAATGCTGTTACAGAAATATGAATACTCCTCTCCTCTCCTCAATCAGTCCAGCCAGGCAGCAGGTCTGTGTGTAGATAAGGGCACATCTACTGTCTCCTATCAGCAGTGTAATCAAGAGTGGGCTCGCAGGTGGAGCTGCGTCTCTGGGGGGCCTTTTTTGTAGCCTTTTTTTGTGGTTTGGGATATTATAGGTGAACCTCACCAAATGCTGTTACAGAAATATGAATACTCCTCTCCTCTCCTCAATCAGTCCAGCCAGGCAGCAGGTGTCGTGTCTGTGTGTAGATAAGGGCACATCTACTGTCTCCTATCAGCAGTGTAATCAAGAGTGGGCTCGCAGGTGGAGCTGCGTCTCTGGCCCCTATCAGCACTCCAGTGGAGAGTGGGCTCAGAGAGCAAGCTGCATCACAGGCCCCCATCAGAGAGACGCTCAAAGAAATAGATCTTTTCAGAGGCTGAGCTCTTCATTTGACTTCTGACGTTCACCCTTATCACTCTCACTCGCTTTTCTGTTGCTCCTCTAGCATTTACACTCCAGGATTGAGATCAAATGGGCATGGATTTTAAAAACGGCATGTCTGTGTGTAGATAAGGGCACATCTACTGTCTCCTATCAGCAGTGTAATCAAGAGTGGGCTCGCAGGTGGAGCTGCGTCTCTGGCCCCTATCAGCACTCCAGTGGAGAGTGGGCTCAGAGAGCAAGCTGCATCACAGGCCCCCATCAGAGAGATGCTCAAAGAAATAGATCTTTTCAGAGGCTGAGCTCTTCATTTGACTTCTGACGTTCACCCTTATCACTCTCACTCGCTTTTCTGTTGCTCCTCTAGCATTTACACTCCAGGATTGAGATCAAATGGGCATGGATTTTAAAAACGGCATCCTAATTTCTAGTATAAATTATCGTAATACAGTTATTCTGCCAGTTAATGAATTAAAACATGTCGTAGGCCGTCTTGTGTTGTGAGCTTCCAGAGTGTCTGCATGAGAATATTTTCTCAAAAGATGGGCACAAGTGTTTGGGTCCGTTCTGCCGGAGACCCCCTCCCAGGGCGGTATCGGTGGTCTGTGGTCAGTGACCTCGCCCAGGGGTCAGGATCATCCGCTGTGACACAGACTCTCAGGAGTCTTTAGTGGCTCCAGTGGCTTTTAGCTGCTAATCTCTTTTGTTCCTCTTCAGCTGAGTTTTATTTAGGAAACCACAGCTGTGAACCTTAATCCAATTCATTCCGGCCCGGCCTTTTCACGCTAATGATATGCATCTGTAATTGTATCTGAATTCATAGTGGGATGCGTTAAACATTTAACAGTGAGGCTACACTGCATAAATGTTTTTAAATCACACTATAGGGCTTTAGTGTTGGGAGTAGCTAGCTAAAAGTAGCGGTGGTCCTAACTTAACTACATGCTTCAGTGTCACAATAATTCAGTCAGTGTCAAAAAAAAAGAAGAAAAAAAAAGACTTTTTTAGTAACAGTTCCCCCTCCCAAATATAGTGGTGGTTAATTAAAAATAACATATTCAAAAGAACAATTAACTCACAATTCAGACTAAAAGTATCTTTAACTTTAATGCTGTATTTGGAACCTATTTATTATTCTTAATTAATTAAGTAAATAATATTAAATAATTAATTAATCTAAATACTACTGTGAATATATAGAATGATATTTCTTATTACATTTACATTTAATCATTTAGCAGACACTTTTATCCAAAGCGACTTTTTTTATATAATAAAAAAAAATAATAAAAAGTTCATAGGAAAGAAATAGAATAGATAGAGCTAGTGTTAGAGGGTCAAGTTATTATTTTTTTAAATTCTAATTAAAAATAAAACAAGTACAATAGACTAGAAAAAGAAACAGAGAACGCTAGTGTTAGAAGTTATTTTATAATATTATAGTGAAATAATAAAAATGTAAGGGCTTTTAATCTGATTAATCTGCCTATAACTAGTACTATGATATGATTTTTGTGTTACATGATTTAATATTTCATTTTAAATTCATTGTATTTATTGGTAAATGATATACCTTATAGCAAAAATGTAAATGGTTTTAATGTGGTTAGTCTGTTTTACTACCACTATGAATTGTATTTGTTTATTTATTTATTTGCTTGTTTTTTTGTTTGTTTATTTTGTGTGTGTGTGTTTTGTCTTGTATTTAATTTTTTTTGGACTCATTTTGGATTTTTTATATTTAATTTTAAATGCAAACTAAATTTATAGGTAAAAGATATATCTTTTATTATAGTAAAAATTTAAGCACTTTTAGTCTGGTTAATGCATGTATAACTAGTACTATGATTTGTAGTTTAGTTTTTTGCATATAACTGAATATATAGGTAAATTATATTCCTACCTACTCTCTCTCTCTCTCTCTCTCTCTCTGTATATATATTAGTATTATAGTAAAAATGTAAGAGTTTTTAATCCATTAATCTGTCTATAACTAGTACTATAATTTGGGATGCAATAATCCAAATAATAAAACTAATAAACAAGTAAGACCTTTAAAATGATTTGCTCCTTGTTTAGGCAAGGTTTAGTGTAGCTACTAGCTGACAACTTTTTATAAAGGTTTTTTATTTATTTTTTTCCACAGAGGTTAAACTTCTATAAATTCTCAGTGGCTTGTACATGTAACATCGGTGTTTGACTTCTTTTGTTTGCAGGACGGTCGCTTGCGTATCAATGACCAACTGATAGCTGTTAATAGCGAATCTCTGCTCGGACGCTCCAACCATGATGCCATGGAAACCCTGCGCCGCTCCATGTCGACTGAAGGGAACCTCAGAGGAACCATCCAGTTGGTGGTTCTGCGTGCTCTGGAGCACTCACCTGTACAGGTATGCCATGTGTACCACTACAGAGCGCTTCCCCGCAGGGCCTCTGAACCCGAGTTCCTGGCTGTAGCCCACTGGTATCACCACTATCGGCATCACAGGCTCTCAGGTGACCTCTGAATGTTAGTTATTGTGCACAAAGAAATACACACATATGCTTTGGCTAAAAAGGGATAATGGTTTTAATATCCCCATGATTCTAAGATTTAAATTGAGCTTTAAAGTACTGTTGTTATCCTACAAGGAACAGAAAAATAGGCTTCTGGTTAAAAAAAATCTGTCAATAGATAATTTTTTTTCCTGGTTAAAAAAGCCAAACAGCCCATTTTCCTAAACAAAGCTCTTGAAAATATTTGATTGAGTTGTCATTTGAGGCATTGCAGTGTTGTTATGGACATTTGGGGAGGAAGTCCTTGAAATGTAATCATTGTAGATACATTTTCTTTTGACACATTGAAGATTGTTCTTTTCCTTGTTTTTCTTTGACTTCATGAGAAAGCTCTTGTTCTTCTCTCCTGCTTCTGCTTTTGTACTAACATTGTGCACATGCTTGCATTTTCATTTACTGTTTTCACTTATTAATAGAACATCTAATTGTCCGTGTCTGCTGTTCTTTTGCATTGTTTTTGTATGGCTGAAATTTTTCTTTTCAAATAAAAGACTCTTAAATCTTTGCATGCACTCTGTTTCCTTTGAACCCTCTGGGCTTTTCTTCTTGGATCTTTTCTGTTTATTCTGTAAAGGGCATGTGGTGTCATTCATCTCTTTCTTTCGGTTATTGAGAGATTTATCCAGTTTTCACAGTCATGCTGTATTGAACTTGTTAATGTAATATGTACAATACGTTTAAAAGTTTGGGGTCAGTAAGATTTATTTATTTTTAAAGAAATGTATACTTTTATTCAACAAGGATGCATTAAATTGATCAAAAGTGACTGTAAAGACTTTTACTGTTTATTTTAAAATATACTCAAATAGAAAACAGTTATTTTAAATTGTAATAATATTTCACAATATTACTATTTTTACTGTATTTTTGGTCAAATAAATAAGAGATTTTGTTCAGAAACATTTTATCGACCCCAAACTTTTGAATGGTAGTGCTATACCAGATCAAATGAATTTGAAATTAACAAAAATATAAAATAATAAAGTGGATATTAAGTAACCTAACATGTGATCATTATATTTAAGAATGAGAAAGCATGAACAACTATTTCAAACAGTACAATTTATACCAAAATCTGAGAAGCACTGCACTTCATCGTATCAGTGCATGTCATTTGAGTCTACATTCTCATAAAGCTAAAATATGCCATGTAAACCTGTACATTTTCACTAAGTATATGTTTGAGACATTTAATGTATATAATTCTACTCATGACTCATAAGTTTGTTTAGTTTGTGCTTGCATTAATGGCACACAAGCGCAGAAGTTTGGCCTTCTTTTAATTTTGTCAGTTTTACATGTCTCTGTGTTTCAGGGGGTCCGCCATGTTCACTGGGGTCCCCCTTTTGTTAACGTGGTGGTAAGTTTAAGTAGTTGCCGGTTGGTGTATTAAACCTGCATGACGATATCTTTGATAATAGAGGTGGTTTCACATGAAAAATAAATTGAGTCAGCTAAAACGATATGTTTAATTGATAATGGATACGTTTCTGAACTCCAGTAGTCTATGGAACAATGGTGATCATTTCAGAAAATTGGTGTGTTTATCTTTTATATTTTAATATTTTTTGCATATTTTTCAGAAATAGAGTTATTCAGTGTGTTTTTTTCCCCTTTCTATTATGGGAAGTAGTGTTAAGGCTAATTTATTGGGGATGAGAATCCATTTCCATGAGTCAGCAGCTCACTAAAATGTCAGTTTTCAGCCAAGAGATAATAGCAGAATCTTTTTTTTTTTTTTTCTGATGGAAGCTTTGCTTTCAATCCTCAGAGGTCACATTCTTAGGATTCTGAATGCTTAGAAATAGTCAAATGCAGCTGGGTTTGAGTTTGGAGTCTTTGTATCCAAGGTTAAACCGGGACGGTTCATCAATTCTGGCAGCTCCTCATCACCATCCAATGAATATGAAGACAAATAGTTATTGACTCCACCTTCAGCAGTCTGACTTTGGGTGGGTGGAGTGTTATTGGGCAGCATTAGCTTATCCTCAACCCAATCTGGTGGTGGAAGGATGGTGATCATGCGGGCGGTAATGGCGCTCAATAGAAGGTGATATGTCTCTGAGATACATTCTTCATTAATCACATGCAGACGGAGCGATCAATATGCCATTACTCATTCATAAAGAGTTGTCTTTACGGTCACGTTTGATCCCTCTCATGCATTCATTCTGAATAAAAGTATTCATTACTTAAAAAATTATTTCAAACTTTTGGACCCCAAACTCTTGAACAGTAATGTACTTTAGAGTGATTTCATGTGAAACCACCATCTTTGTTCCTCCGTCCTCCATGTTCTTCTCTTTCCTGTTTCTCCACCCAGTCTGCTGTCTAATCTCGTTCCCTCGCTGGATCTCCTCTTACTCGGAGGTGATATGTCTCTGAGATACATTCTTCATTAATCACATGCAGACGGAGCGATCAATATGCCATTAATCATTCAGAAAGAGTTGAGTGATAAGAGAATGAGTGGGAGGTTAGAGAATCAAAAGTGTTTGTGGACAAAACTTAATTGGTTGGTTCCTCAATTCAAGACAAAATTAATTTTTTGATTTCAACATTTTAGTTTAAAAAAATGTATGTATATGTATGCAAGTATAAATTGGTGCTGTCAAATGATTAATCGTGCCTGTTTCTCCACCCAGTCTGCTGTCTAATCTCGTTCCCTCGCTGGATCTCCTCTTACTCGGCAAGTTAATCAGATTACACCGTGGGTTCCTTGAATAAAAGGCAAATTTTAGGTTTTAATGAAAGGCAGCCCAGGGCTACCCTGAGGGTCCCTAACCTCAGCTCACCCTCACTGCTGCCCATGTGTGGAGGGGGTGGAGACGTCCGTGGGTTTAGGGTCTTGTTCCAGAGGCTGCTTTGTTGGTTCTTTGTCTTCGACTGTACACCCAAGCTCCCTTGTGATTGTTGTCTGATTAAGACATGCAGCGCACAGCCTTTGAAGATGTCAGAGAGGTTCTTGTTGTGTGTACATGTATGTGTGTGTGTTGTGGAGGTGATATTTAAATGAATGAGAAAATGATCATGTTACAGACATATTGACTGATGCAAAGAGAAATTAGACTTTGACATTGTCTTCAGATGCTAGTGTGCTGTGAATGCTTGTCAGGGTGTTGCTATGCAGTTGCTAGGGTGTTCTGAGTGGCGGCTAATGCGTTGTTATGCAGACTCATAGCAAATGCAGCGAACGACATCTCTGCATTTGCTGTGTGTTCAATATGCATTTGGAAATTAAGCATGTGCCAGTTATTTATAAATTTTTTTGTAGACGGATGACTACAGCTAGATTTGTAATGAGAAGCGTTTGTAAACTTGTTCTCACAGAAACTTAAAAGACTTCCCAGCAGTTTTTAGCCAAAATAACATCTTTACTTGCGAAAGTTAAAGCCCTTAAGCTCACAAATATTGTAATTTTACTACTGCAATGTAAAGTAAAATAATTGTACAGTGAAACTTTTACAATAGTAATATATTTCTGTCTAATGATATTGAATTATTATTATTAGTTTTAATATTATTATAAGTATTATTATTATTAATTAAATTTAGATACTGTTCAAATTTTATGCTCTTAATGTTGTGTCAGTTTTCCCTGTGGTATATGCTGAAATTTTTGTATCATGACAGCACTAGTTGATAGGGTATATATATATTATTTTTTTTGCTCTGTTGTTTGGGTGTTGTGGGTGGTTGCTAGGGCGTTGCTATGCATTTATTTTAATACATTGCTATACGGTTGGCAAGGTGTAATGAATGTTTCCAGCGCATTGCTGTGTTCTGAGATTTTTTTTAGCACGTTGCTATGTGGTTGCTAGGGTATTGTAGGTGGTTGCCTGGGTGTTGCTGTGCATTTGCCGTGTTTTTAGAGTGGTTTACATGTGTTGTTATGCAGTTGCTACAGAGTTTTGAGCTATGGTGCTGTAATGTGGTTGCCATGCAATTTAAAACACTGCTATGTTAGGTTGCGAGGTTGTTCTGGGTTGCTCAAGGTGTCTTGAGAATTGTTATTTTTGTATTATTTTTTTATTAATAGGTTGATTAAGGCTAAATTTGTTGTTCTCCTCAATAAATCCCACATTTTGAGACGTCATTCATGTGTGTTTTACAAATAGTGCTGCAGGGGTTTTGCACCAAAGATTAGTGGTCAGCGGTTTGTTCAAATTAGTGTGAGCAATAGTAATAGTGATCTTTGCCTTAACAAGCCCCACTAATAAGGACGATGCAGCGGTTGAAGTCGGTGGGAGGTGAACACGTAAATCAATAATATCGACTGTTTAAATTGACTTTTCCTTTTTAGTTTCCCTCCGTCTGGATTCTTGCAGTTGCTGTCCCATCATTCTTCAAGTATCTTTTGATATTTTCCTGCCAGCTCTCAATTTATGTGTTAGACACATGCATATAACACGTCAACTGTTGTCAAGGCACTGATCACAGTGAAAGACAGAAAAAGTGTTGCTTAGTCTCAGGTTTTAGAGTCATTTTTTCATGAGAAACAACCTCTGAAGAGAAAGAGAGCTTGAGAATCAGTCCTTTGGTCCATTGATGATTCCTGTGCGTCCTGTAAGACAGCGAGCAGGAGACAGATGACAAGAATGACATTTCCACATGTAAAGAGCCATCATCCCCACTAATGATTGTCCTCCAACTGAGGCTTAACGCCGGAACCAAAGAACAAGGCTTTCATCTGTTTTTCGCCATGCGGAATAGTACGGTGCGAATGCATTTAAGCACACTTTGATATGGTGATATCCTAATACCTTTCATGTCCATCCAGTCAGTCTGGGCTTTTTTTCTTCTTTTTTTTACCGTGAGTAGTGTGTTTGTGTGTGTAGCATGTGGTTTGTATGACAGTATAAAGTCTATGGCATTCCCCCTCGGGGTTGTAGACACCCAGACGGTGACAGCTTTAGCTTCTTTGTCTTCTGAGAAGAATCCATAAGGACGCATCATTCGGTGGTCTCACGTCTTCATATTGGCACATGTTTCCGTATCTGTCTTGACTAGTATTCTCTGACGGGAATGCCTTTGGCTTATGAATATTTCTAACTATGTCATATGGATTTATATTATATTATATGCATATACCAGGGTTGTTCTCTCATAGAAAATCTTTTTCTTTTTTAGTATCTACAGTTTTTCTTGTAAAATGTGCTCAATTGTATGCTACCATTCAGAAATGTTTTTTTTTTCCCCAGGATTTTGTCTTGTTTGCTCGCCAAGTCTGCATTTAATTGATAAATAAAAATATCTAAATAATAAATAAATAAATAAATAAAACAGTAAAAACAGTAATATTGTGAAAATTATTATCATTTAAAATAACTTTTCTTTTTGAATATATTTTAAGATGTAATTTATTTCTGTGATGCAAAGCTGATTTTTCACTATCATTACTCCAGCCTTCAGTGTCACAAGATCCTTCAGAAATCATTCTAATATGCTGATTTGTTGGTCAAGAAACATTTCTTGTTAATATCACTGTTGAAAATGGTTGTGCTGCTTAATATTTTTTTGGAAATCATGATTTTTCAGGATTCTTTGATGAATAGAAAGCTATAAAGAACAGTATTTATTTGAATGTTTTATAACATTAGAAATGTCTTTACTGCCGCTTTTGATCAATTTAATGCATCCATGCTGAATTAAAGTATTAATATCTTTTGAACTTTTGAATGGTTGTGTACTTTGCTTACGTTCAGATATGAAGCAGCAAGACATGTTGCACAACATTTGATGGCAGTAAAAAAAACACAAAACAAAGTGTTTATTATGAGTATTTACTCTCCATATTTACTTATATTTACTTGAATATACTTGAATGTAAATTTCAATGTGTGTTCCAGGGAAGAAAGGTCAAGCAAGTGTAGAAAAAGGTTAAGTATAAGTAAACAACAGAATTATGATTTTTGTGTGTAATTATATTAGGCTTGCCGCGATAGACGGTGCTGACGGTTAAGCCGCAACACCGGTTACGTCACTTGCCCACCGCGTCACCGACCCCCACCGTCGTTTTGATTTTTTATAGTAATAAAAATCATTTAGTTCAGTAAAAGAACAGAGACACTACAATTAAAAACTGAACGCGGCTGCTCAATGCAGCGTGCCGAACGACAGTCGCATCACAGATCGCACGGGCTATTTAAAAGCGAAGGAAAGCGAGGAAAAGAGGGAAAATTCAAACGAACTAAAAACGAACAATTGCTTTACTCCGAATTGCCGCTATTTGAAAGTGAAAGTAAAATGCGCACACCGCTTTTACAAGCTATTTAAAAGAGAAGGAAAGCGAGGAAAAATAGGGAACGCCCCCGCGGTGATACCGGTATTACCGGTGTTGTCACACGTCGATTAACCGGTGGGAAAATTTCCTCGCCGTCACAACCCTAAATTATATACAGTACACCCAAATTCCATTTCCTTAACCTTGTTTTCTGTGCTGCATGGCAGATGTTCCACTTGTTGACTTTCTGACTGCATGAACCCAATATGGGAGTTGGTCAACATGCTTTTAAAATGTCCATATTTGTTGTCAAGACTTTTTCCCAATCAGCAGCTTCCAGATCAATGTTTCATTGCTTTTTTTGGACGCTAAAATTAATTCTCTACAACTTTTCACCCTCTTCTTTAGGAAAATCAAGAAAGCAGTCAAACTGCCACCAGAAACGACTCTCCTGTTCATCATCTTCCTAACAGCAACCACACCAACAGTTCCGTACCATCCACAGCAAGCAGTCGTATGTACGAGCCTTCTTCTGGTAAGTACACACTGCCACTGATTAAATTGCTCTAGGTCGTGACATGAAGTTGCTGTACTATTAATTCCTACTTCGCAGTCAGCTGCAGAATCCAACTGGATCATGTGGTGGATTCCATTGGGGGTCGCCAAATCATGTCCTGTGTGAATGCATCTTAACTTGTTGATTGCTTTCTTAAATGCACACCAAATTATAAAAGTAATTGCTTTTATGTAATGTAAGTGCTTTCATCCAAATTCTCTCACTGTCAAAGAAACAAATGAAATTGATTAGTGCTCAACAAAAGAAAGCATGAGCATTTGTTCATCATCAACACCATGTGAAGAGTGCTTTGCTTCTCTGTAAGGGGAAAAAATGAGTTCATTTTCTCTGTCGCCTCATTTTCCATGCCAGCGTAGCTTTCCATTAGCTTTTTCGACTTCTACAAGTTGGATATCTGCCCATCTCATCAATAGGGATGAAAAAGCCAATGACGATATTTTTGCTACATTCCCTTCTGCTTTTATGCAACGCGGCCTGACCTTGAAATCATTAAGCTGATGAAATGGATTCTAAGTGGGCCTTATTAGCAATTGTGCCGAGCGCTCGAGAACGGATAACAAACTGTTTTAAATTCACACTATTCTTTCCCGGCGATTCTCCAGAGAGTTGCCGTGCCAACACAAAAGGCTTTTTTCCGTGTTTTTTGGGAAACCATTGTTTACTGATTAGCGTCTCTTGTCCGTCAAAGTATGTGACTGTACTTTAGTCGCACAAAGAGGGATGTGATATTTACACACATCTCATTTCAAATTCAGATTGCTTTCCACATTCGCTGCAGTTAGATTTGGTAGAATCTAAAAAATGTAAAACACCTAACTCGGCGTACAAGTGTAGTTTTAATCACATGTTTTTTCCAGCACCAGCATTAATATTTCATGTCACTGCATATATATGACACAGTCACTCTGCACTCGCTTTACGATAAATGGCTAAATGGTGGAAGAAACGGGGACAGTAGTGCAGAAAATTGAGTCGTAATGGAGATATTTCAGACTAGTGCTGCTAACATTGATCAGAACGTTGTGTGGTCGTTGAGAAGGTCTCAATGTGTTTCTCACACGTTAGATGATTCAAAACTCAGTGAACGTGGTCAAGTGTGTCTTATTCCCCATAATGGAAGGACTTTCATTCAGAAATAACTGACCCTCCTGTCATTTTAAACCTGTATGACTTTCTATTTCTCAGTGGAACACAAAATTATATTGTACATTACTGTTTCCCATACAATAGAAGTGAACTAAAAAACTAAAAATGACAAAAGCATGAGTCTTCTGTAGGAAAACAATGGCTTTGTGTGATGAACATAAGCTCTAATAATGGTATATAACTTTAAAACTCATATTTCCAAGCAGCTCTGCACGGATCCCATGGCGGACGACAGGAACTTCCGGAGGAAGATTACGATGAAGACGGTTTCCCCCCTCCACCTTCTGATCTGGACCTGCTGGAAACAAACCCTCCGCACAAACACCAACAAGATCGGTTAGTTATAGTGCTCAAAGAGTAAAGTTGGAGATAATACATTTCTTATCGTGAAACCAAATAATCTGGTACTTTGATCAGTGCTCAGTATTGTGTCCTGAAGGCTTGTTTCAAAGCCTTGAAAACACAAAGATACCATGCAGAAGAGTTATTTAAGCCATTATCTAGTTGTACCATCAAATATTCGGTCAAATTGCACATTTTATCCACGTACACTTACATATTTGTATACACACACAGAGAAACATTTATTTACAGGATAAGTGGACATAAATGAAATTAATGTTGGTTGTAAATACTTTGTCATTCAGTACTAAAACATATCAGTAATTAGTTCAATGTATATTATTGCACATTGAATAATTGACTATTTTATCCAATATTTCTGTGTGTTACACTACTGTTCAAAAGTTTGGTGTCTGTAAGTTTTTTTTAAAAAATAAATTCAAATGTAAAATCATTTATGATGTTACAAAAGATCTCTATTTCAAATAATCGCTGTTCTTTTGAACTGAAGCAGCACAACTGTTTCAACATTGATAATAAGAAATGTTTTTTTGAACAGCACAGTTATAATTTTTGAGTTTTATAAATAGTATGTTTTATTTTATTTTAGATATATTTTTAAATATTATTATTTTTACATTTGTATTCTTTTTTATTTTTTTATTTTTTTATGTTACATTTAAAATAAAAACATTACTTACAAAGGAAAGGAGTAATATTCTTTATGGGTAAATGTTAAAATATAATTTTAACAAAAAATGCATACATTTAGAATTACTGTGGTGCATATATGTGATTGCCTATGTTTTAAGGTAAATTAATTTTCTGTTTCAAGGCATAACTTACAAAGGTGTACGATGTATGCAAATTTCATCAACGATTTCCATCAAAGTGATTGTTTTTGGACGTGTTTTTGGGTAATGGATTTCCAGTCAGGGTCATAGCTAATGTGACTGAAGGTGGGAGCAATTTCAGACGTTTACTCTAGCATTATCTGCCGTTAGCGTAATACAGGTCATTTATATCCAAATGCAAAAATAGCCAAAATATATATTATTAATCTTAATTTACAAACATTCTACAGACCTTTACAGTAATCTATCCATCACTCAAGGGTCCAATTTTCTTATCTTCAAGGCACGTAATTTCAGTCTGGTTAATGTTTTCCTGTGATATTGCGAAACGTTGAAAGACAAAGGTTTTCCTCAGTCAAGCGTGGTCCCTGTGAGAGGTTTGGCTGGAGTTCTGGAGGCCAGCTTTTGGAGTTCAGAGTTTTGGCTCAGCTTGGGTCTCTCTGAAAGAGGTTTATTCTGCCAGTCGCATCATTAGCAGCTGTATGTTTTTCTGGGCAGGAGTTCATGTGAAAATGCTCTTAATTTCACATTTGCTGATTGCTTTCAGGCCATTTACCTTTACTTTTATGCAGAAGTATAACACACCAGCCACATTTGGTTTTATCAGAATATGTATAACTAGATTTTTATTTTTCTGCATAACATTTTAGTGAAAAAAAATGCATTAAATGCTAAAGTGTTTTGGGTGGTTGCCAGGTCATTGTTAAACAGTTGCTACTGACTGGTTTCTAGGATGTTTGAGGTGGTTGCTAAGGTGTACTACATGTTGCTGGATGTTCTGGATGTTGCTGTGGTGATTTGGGTGATATCTAGGCCATTTTGCATGTTGCTAGGGTGTTTGGGGAGGTTGCTGAGGTATCGCTATTAGAGCCCATTAGAATGATTTCTGAAGGATCATGTGACACTGAAGACTGGAATAATGATGCTGAAATTTCAGCTTTACATCACAAGAATAAATGACATTTTAAAATATGTTCAAATAAGAAAAACTGTTATTTGATAATAGTATTTAAAAAATATTACTAAAATACTTCATTCAAAAACATTTTACACCCAAACATTTGAGAGGTGGTGTGTTTTTTATGCTTATTATAGAATCAGCAGAGAATGCATAGCTTTTAAAAAGTGTGATATGTGTCTTGTAGGGCTGAAATGGAGCCTGTTTCATATATGATCCACCCCACCAACCAACAAAACCCTCAACGACAGAACGTCCCAGATTACCTCACCAACAAGTCCTCCAAGAGCATGGATTTAGGTATGGAAAACACACATACACCACCTCCACCAAAAACTTTCTACAAAATAAGCTCAAAGAAATAAATAAAAAATTTAGGATACTCTACTAAGATTGTACAGACTCTGTAATTTCAATACAGAGCTATTGCAATGCATTTAGCGCTTGGTTAACTTGGATTGTGGGTGGTTAGTGAATAAGACAGGTTTTTGAGGTGAAATATTGTGCATTAAAGCCTTATAGACAAAGATTAAAGGTTATACTGAGACCTAGAAGACCTTTTTTTAAGATTTTGCTCTGTATATCTGAACACAGTGAAAACCGATTGCAAAATAAAGCCCTATAGCTACACATTTCCCAGTATTAGCCACGGATGACCTCGATAACTGATCCTCTCTTTTCCACCACCGTCAGAAACATGAGGGATATTTCAGTGCTCCACAATGGGAAGTTTTCGCTCGTTTCCAATTACATATCATTAGGGTGGAGTATTGGCTTCAGCGCCACTGCGCTAATCTCCTCACTGCTGAAAGCTGATTGGTTTTCATTACACACATCTCATAGTGTCATGCTTTACTGCCATCTTTTATCCTCCATCCAGACCTTTTCTCCTCTATTTATTTCTTTATCTCTCTCTCTCTTTCGCCTTTTTGTTTTGCTCTTTAAGTTACTCTTTCAATTTTTCTGTATAGGCCTTGTGGTCTGCGCGGTTCAGTTGCTGTTTCTTTTTATCCTTTTTAATTTCTTTTTACAAAGCGACCGTTGAAAATCATTTGAACTTTGTGTCAGCACGTCATAAATAGAACGAGGCATCAGTTTACTGCATCCAGTGTAGACAACATCACTGATTATAATGGGTTCTATTCTACACCGGACGTGAGCGGCGAGGTGTGACAAAATACAATAGAATTCTATTCGCGGCCAGTATAAACACCAGCATTGACTGAATGGCCCCGGTCATCAGCTCCGGTGGCCGTAACACAGGCTTTAATGCGCCGCAGATTTAAGAATTAAGAATCATTGTAATGTGACGATCAAATATAGGTGCGGGTGGGTGGTGGGCGGATAATTTGAAGCAGCGGACTCGGGTGAAGTTTGAGCTCATCCGCGCATCTCTACACTACACTGACCTGGGTCGCCAGTAGCAAACAATGGAGCGCGCTCTGCTGGACAAACTAAGCAATTACACCATTCAGAAGCATTTAATCTGCGTTATATGTTCTGTAAAAAAAAAAAAGTTCATATCGGCGGCACATTTGCCGATACCGATATATCGGTGACATCAGAAACATGAGGGATATTTCAGTGCTCCACAATGGGAAGTTTTCGCTCGTTTCCAATTACATATCATTAGGGTGGAGTATTGGCTTCAGCGCCACTGCGCTAATCTCCTCACTGCTGAAAGCTGATTGGTTTTCATTACACACATCTCATAGTGTCATGCTTTACTGCCATCTTTTATCCTCCATCCAGACCTTTTCTCCTCTATTTATTTCTTTATCTCTCTCTCTCTTTCGCCTTTTTGTTTTGCTCTTTAAGTTACTCTTTCAATTTTTCTGTATAGGCCTTGTGGTCTGCGCGGTTCAGTTGCTGTTTCTTTTTATCCTTTTTAATTTCTTTTTGTCCTTTTTTATTTCTTTTTGATAAATGTGCACACTATTTAGCTTAAGCTGAAAAATTTAAATCTAAAAATAAAATAAAATAAATGTCCTTAGGGAAAAAAAAGACATTAGCATTTGTAATTCACAA